GTGTCTCGTGGACTGTTTCGCGGGGTGTCTCGTGGAATGTTAGGGATGGGTGTCTCGTGCTGGTTGGTTCTGAGAGGTGGAATTTGTCTCGGGGGATGTTTGCGGGGGGATGGCTGGTTGTTGGCGTCAGCTCGTGGGATGTTTCGTGAGATGTCGCCCAGTTGGGTATCGTGAAAACGTGACCATGCTGCACATGTCTTTATCCCTTTCCGGGTTCGTGGGTCCATCATGTTCTTGGACTGATTTTGAGTGTCCGGAACCACCTATACGCAATTTCGCTTTCTTCGTGCTCCCAGAACGCCATTCTTGGAAATGATTCCTCTTGCTTCGCACGGTGCACGTCCGGAGCACGTGAAGAGTGGGCGTTGAGTGGTTTGCCTTGCTCGTCTGCCGCGAAGTTCTGCGTGTCGGTCTGCCCGCCCCGGGGCGCTGCCAGTGCTGCCATTTGGGGCGGATGCGCCTCCGTCCCCCCCGCTTCAGCTCTGGACGAGCGTGCGAATGTCCACGGGGTAAATGGGCATTCACCGCGTGTCAGCACAAGGCAGCGCCAAGTTCAAATTCTGATGAGCACAATAACGCGCCATTCGTATACAATTCCGCGGGTGCCTCGGTGGTTTCTTGGGGCTGTTTGGGGGCTTCCTTGGGGCGTTTTGGGATCTTCTTGGTGGCCCTTCGGGGCTTCTTGGGGGCCTCAGCGGTTTGGCTGCCGTGAGCGCCGCTGCAACCGATTGCGAAGCTGGTCGCGAAAAAGCCCAAGATGCCTCTGAGAGGCTCCAAGACACCCTCGAGACGCTCTCCAGGAGCCTCGAGAAACCCAGCGGCGAGGCTGTGCTAGTGCGTCCTGGTGGGCAGTCCCGAAGTGGCCAGGCCGACAGCCGCGGTGGTTCGCCAACCCTGGCAACGCGGGAGAGCATCACCAAGCGCGTTCCTTTCCTGGCAAAGTGCCCACAGAAAAAAAACATGTTTTCCTTTATATCATGGGTAGTTCATCTCCCGCGGCGGATCCAGGCCAGTAGCGAGTAGTCACTTTGCCAGTAGTGGAACTCGCTTGTCTAGAGCAGGCGCTGCACAGCGCGCGCACGCGCCTCTGATGCGTACAGCAAACATCGTATTGGTAGTAATATGGTTACTACGACAACAAATATCGCTACGACGACAGCGACGACGGCGACGATGACGATCACGATGACGATGACAATGACGATGATGATAATTCTGATGATAAGTAATGATGATGGTGGTGATGATGGCGATGATGATGCTGATGGTGGTGGTGATGATGATGTCGCTGCTGATGATACATACGATGATGAGGATGATGAGAACGATGATGATGCTGATGCTGATCAGGATGATGATGGTGATCACGACGACGATGACGATGACGACGATACTGATGATGATGTTGATGATGATGGTGATGCTGATGGTGATGCTGATTGTGACGATGATGCCGCTCATGTTGCTGATGATATTGATGATGATGATGACGGTGGCGATGATGATGGCTGTATTTATGACTGTAATGATAATTGTGATGGCGATGACGATGAAGATGACTTTAATGATGGTGATGATGATGATGTCGATGCTGATGATGACTGTAATGATGACGACGATGATGATAGCTATAATAGTCATGATGCTGCTGATGGTGCTGCTGAGGATGCTGCTGATAATGATAATGGCTGTAATGATGATGATGCTGATATTGTTGATGATGATGATGATGATGATGATGCTGATGCTGACGCTGATGCTGATGATGATGATGATGATGATGATGATGATGATGATGATGATGATGATAAGGATGAGGATGCGAATGATGCTGACGATGCTGATGATGACTGTAATGCTGATGATGATGGTGAGGATGATGATGATGATGATGATGACGATGATGGTGATGACTGTGATGACGATGCTGATGATGATGCTGATATTGATGATGACGATGATGAGGATGATGGTGTTGTTGATGATGCTGATGCTGATGCTGATGCTGATGCTGATGATGATGATGATGATGATGATGATGATGATGATGATGATGATGATGATGATGATGATGCTGCTGCTGCTGATGATGATGATGATGATGATGATGATGATGATGATGATGATGCTGATGATGCTGATGATGATGATATGATCATGATGGTGATGCAGATGATTGATGGTGATGGTGATGATGATGACGACGACGATGAGGGCGCACTTATCCGTGTGCGCCGCGCAGTACTGCCGAAGCCCCGCGTGCTTCACGCAGAGGTGATCGCGTCCTTTGCGCTGGCCGCGCTGAAGTGCTGCGGGGAGCAGCGGTGGACCCCCGCCCCGCGAGGAGGAGGAGGAAATGAGATGAGATGAGACCAATCGCGAATCGAAACAACATAACACCTGGCCTGGCCTCAGTACACGAACACGCCGAAGGGGTACAGGACGACTACCCCGAACTGGTTCTTAAGCTGAGGCCACCATACACCAAGTGAATACTTCACATCTGCTTGCAATCAGGGTTGGACGGCAACGCTCCCGACATGCCAACAGATGGGGCGGAAGGCTCCGTGGCTGCCACGGCTGACAGCGCCGCCCCCGCCTCCGCACAAATCTTGTTGATCTCGTCGCGCTGGGCTGCCGCGATCGCCCGCCCATCGAGAGCGGCTCCGCCATGACTGCCATGATCAGCACCACCCCCACGAGGAAAGAGCGCTCCCAGAAGAGGAGTTTTGTCCTCATAGGCAGCTCCACCAGCACGAAAACCACCTCCTGTTCTATGATGGCCTCTGGCTGCCGCCTCTGCAGCTGCCGTTGCCGCCTGCGCAGCCGTAGCCGCCTCTGCCCGCATAGCGGCGGCCTTGACCTCTCGAATCCTCTTGATCACATCTTCCACCTCGTCGGGCTCCTGCGAAAATTGAAACACTCCATCGCCGAAAGGCTCCCTCGCCGTACCCTTTTCACACACAAAGGTCCCAGCGCTGTAGCTGATCGCGTCAGGCTCAATCGTCGCCTCCCTGAACTCACACGCGCTGTTCCCAGAGTAATTGGTATACAAGGAGTACTGCCTAGGGATAGCGGGCTCTATCTTCGCCTTCTTCTTCTTCTTCTCACACGCCCTGATCGCACCGCTGTAGCTGGTCACGTCGGGCTCTATCTTCGCATCTAACTTCCCGCACGCGCTATCCCCAGAGCTGTGGCTAGAGATACTAGCAGGCTCCAGTTTCGCCTTCCTCTTCTCGCACGCCCTGATCGCAGCGCTGTAGCTGAACTTGTTGGGCTCCACCTTCGCCTCCAACTTCTCACACGCGCTGCTTCTAGAGCGGTGGCTAGGGATAACGGGCTCTAACTTCGCCACCTTCTTCTGGCACGTCCAGATCGCAGCATTGCAGTTGTACGTATCGGGCTCTGTCGTCGCCTCCGACTTCTCGCACGCACTGTCCCCTGGGCTGTGGCTCGGGATGACGGGCTCATGCTTCGCCTTTCCCTTGCCGTACGCCATGGTACCAGCGCTGTAGCTGATCGTGTCGGGCTCTATCATCGCCTCCCACTTCTCGCAAGCACCCGCAGAGTTGTGCTTAACCTCGTACTCGGGCGCGACGGGCTCCCACACGCCAGGGAAGACCTGCGACGGCAAGAAAGAACCGCCTGCCACCTCGCCCGCTCTGCTCCAGTCCCCTGGCGGCCGGTGGAAGGAGGTCTTCACGTCCCCTGCCGTCGCCTTCCACTTCTCGCACTCGCTGTCGCCCATACCGTGGCTAGCGATGTCGGGCTCTGGCTTCGCCTTTCCCTTCTCGCACGCTGCTATTGCAGTACTGTAGCTGCTCATGTGACGCCCCTCCGGTTGGCACCACGCCTCCTCTTGGATCGTCGTCCACGGGAGGCCCCACCAGTCGAGCTCCACCTGGCGGCATGTGGCCAACCGTAGCCTGCGGTCGGCGCGTCTGCGGCTTTTGCTGACCCCGGACCTGGGGGGCCACCCTCCTTCGCAGAGGGGCCCTCCCCACGCCTCGGCCAGCATCCTTACGCGCCGCCGCACGGCAAGGGGCTGGGGGCCATCGCTCCGCGGGCCGCGCGCCGCGGCCGCGCTGCGAGGCCACCTACCGCGAGGAGGAGGAGGAGGCGGAGGAGGAGGAGGAGGAGGAGGAGGAGGCCAGGAGGAGGCCAGGAGGAGGAGGAGGAGGAGGAGGAGGAGGAGGAGGAGGAGGAGGAGGAGGATCATCGCTTTCTCAGTGGTCGGAACGCGTGGCAGGTGTCAGTGGCAGTGGAGAGGAGGGCGAGAGAGCTCGGCAGCGCAGCTCTCGCCCTCGTGGTCTGTACTCCCACCGATGCAGCCACGCATGGCGTGTTCCAGAAAAGGCCTCGTCTTCGAGGAGTCGAGAGGTTGGTATCTCTCCCTTGGCGGAAGGCGGCGGAAGCAAGACGAGATGCCCCCCTCTTTATCTTTATTTTCTTTTTTTCCTATTTTGGTTTGTTTCTTTTCGTTGTCTTTTCACTTTTGCTTTTTTTTCCGTCTTTATTCTCTCTTTATTCTTACATTTTTTTTTTTTTTTGTCTCTTCCGCGGTGGTACCGGCGGAAGGAAAAGGGAAAAAATTGCCCTTCCCAAGCCCAGAGATGCACAATTTTTTATTTTTTGGACTTTTTTTGGACCGTCCACCTGTTCGTTGAATGAGAGGAGCATTTGGCGCTTGCGAGCTCTGGTCTTCGCAGGCAGAGTCTTCGCAGGCAGCCAGAAGCGCCGTAGAGCACTCGGGCAAGAAGCAGTGCCCGATGGAGCAATATCTCGCTGAATTCAGAATTGCGAGGCTCGATCGCTTGCTGAGACGGCGAACTTTCAGGAGGGAGGTGGAGGGAGGGGAGAAGGTGGGAGGGAGGTGAGGTCTCATCCCGACTGCGAGGGGATGCCGACGTTGGCCGCAGGAGGAGGAGAAGGAGGAGGAGAAGGAGGAGGATGAGGACGAGGAGGGAGGATGATGAGGAGGAGAAGGGAGGACGAGGAGAAAAGAAAAGGAGGAGGAGGAGGAGGCGGGATGAACAAGAGGATAAGGACTCCAGTGCAGTCACAGAGGTGTTTTTGGGATGGCTCCTCTTCCTCCTGGCCCTCCTCCTGCTTCTCATTCCCATCTTCGTGGTAGGGGGGGAGAAGGGAGCAGGGAAGAGGGAGCAGGAGAGGGGAGGAGTAGGAGGAGGAGGAGGAGTAGGAGGAGGAGGAGGAGGAGGAGGAGGAGGAGGAGGAGGAGAAGGAGGAGGAAAGTGAGGAGGAGGAAGGAGGAGGGGGAGGGTGACGACGACGACGAGGACGAGGAGGGGTGGTGATGATGATGAGGAGAAGGAGGAGGAGGAGGAGGCGGAGGAGGAGGAGGAGGATGAGGAGGAGAAGGAGGAGGAGGGGGAGGAGGCCAGGAGGAGGAGGAGGAGGAGGAGGAGGAGGAGGAGGAGGAGGAGGAGGAGGAAGAGGACCGGAGACCCGGGATGCAGCAGCCACGCTGCAATGCGTCATCCTTTTCCCGAGACCCTTTCCCGTCGGCCCCCAGAAATCGACGACCCGAAATCCTTCACATCAGTAATTTTGGGTCTCGGAGCCCACAGGGCGGTTTTTCATGTTTTCCATACGACGTTCCATGGAGCCCGATGTCATTCCGAGGCGCGCGTCGAACGTTTTCGATGGCGCGTCGCGTTATGCGATGTCACGTGCGTTGTGGTCGTCAAAGGCTTGCGTGCTTGTTGCGGATCGGTTGATGTGGGCTCGTAAGAAAGTGCTCGGCTCCACCAGGGGCGGCGCCACCCTCGAAGGACGAGCGCCCGGTGGGCCTGCCGCCCGGGCCAGGCCCCGTCTGCCTCCGCCTCCTCCGCCCCCCCTCCGCCTTCTCCTCCGCCTCCCCCCGCCGCCGCCGCCGCCTCCTCCCGATGCTCATCCTCTTTCCGCGCTCCTGCTCCTCCTCCTCCTCCTCATCCTGCTCCTCCTCCTCCTCCTCCTCCTCCTCCGCCGCGCTCCTCCCGATGCTCATGCACTTTCCGCCTCCTCCTCCTCCTCCTCCTCCTCCTCCTCCGTTCTCATCCTCTTTCCGCGCCTCCCGCTCCTCCTGCCGCTGCTACCCTCCAAGGACAAGAGGGAGGAGGAGGAGGAGGAGGAGGAGGAGGAGGAGGAGGAGGAGGAGGAGGAGGAGGAGGAGGAGGAGGAGGAGGAGGAGGAGGAGGAGGAGGATGCTCCGTCCCCCTCGTCCTCCTCCCCCCTCGTCCTGTGCCTCCTCCTTGACGTGTCCATGGCGGTTCGGAGGTTTGCCAGCATGGAGATCCTCCGCCGACTCCAGCTGATGAAGGAGGCTGGCAG